CCTCAAGGTGTTTTTGAACAGATTCAGAATCAAATAAAAAATTTAAGAGAGAGGTAGATGAGCATTTAGCAAACAGAGGTAGATTTTGATTATGAGGTTCAATAGTAAAGACAGATTAGAATACCTTGTTCAATGTATTAGCAATCAAAAATCTATCGGTACAGAGTTCACCGGATGGAGAATGCAATGTGTTGATATGAATATTGACAGTACGTTTGCTATTAATGTAGGCAAAGAGTCTTTTTAAATTGTTTTTGTCTTTCGATAGGTTTACTTCAAATGAACAAACTGCAGCTCTAGTCTCTTTTCTTACAAGATTTCCAGTAAACTTGTAATCATTAGCCAACAAGATAACTTTCCACTTGCTGTTACGGTTGAGAAACCAGAGTTCTTTTTTTTGTTTAATTAGTAATAAAAGTTCTTTTGTTACCCAGATTGGCTGTCCTTTATTTTGTTTTAAATGGATGAATGAAATAAATTTTTTGCAAACTTTGTTGTAGATATTGCAGAAATTTTGGTAACTTTTATTGGCATCTAAGTTTTTAAGTAGATTTTCCCACCTCTGTTTGGACAGGTAATTGTTAAATTGAATATAATTTCCTTTATTATAAATAAATTTTGAATTAGTAAAATGATTAAATTTGGTGTAGTCATCAGCTAATTGATAATGCCAGGATAGAGTACAGTGACCTTGTGAATTATTTTCTAATGGCGGACTAACAACTATCTCACTTGTAAAATTGGCTGATTCGCTAATTATTAGGTTAAGAATATTTTTTGAAGACCCATTGGATTGAATAAAGGTTGGTATAGTGACATGTTGATGTAGATATAAACTGTTGATAATGTTAACAAATTTTGTATCTGAACTGGTTTCAGTGTTTGAGGTGTATATCCACCCTTTTTTCCATTAGATGTTCGGGAAGTTGAAATCACCGGTAATTATAAGGTATGCAAACTTCTTTTTTTTAATAAAGGATTTGGCATAAGAAATAGTGTTAACAATTTCATTAAAAGATTTTATTTCACTAGTTGGTGGGCGATAGATTCTACCAATAAGAAGAGTTTCGTGATTCAAAGTGAGTTTGATCCAGAGTTGTTCTGAATGTTTTACAGCAATTCTTTGAGAATTTTCAATTTTGTTTGCAGTGAAGCTGCAGTTAACATAAATTGCAATACCACCACCATGAGTAGATCGGTCTTTTCTGAAAATAGTATAACCTGGAAGAGATGGAGTTGAAATATTGTTTAACCAGGTCTCTGATAAAAATAATATCCTATTTATAGTTAGAGACAGCTAGTGAAAGTTCCAGAAGTTTGTTTTGGTTTAAAGATGTAGCATTGGTATAGAAACAGCTTAAAAATTTATTAGGTGATGATTTTGGGTTTAACGCTTGGTGTGTATCTGATACTTAGTTAGATTTATAGTTGACTGCTTTATTGACTGGTAATTGATGTTGATTATGATAGGTCAATGGTTTATGTATATATATATATATATATATATATATATATATATATATATATATATATATATATATATATATATATATATATATATATATATATATATATATATATATATATATATATTAAATTTATATATATATTAAATTTATATATATATTTATTTATATTTATATTTATATATATATGTATATATATATATATATATATATATATATATATATATATATATATATATATTTATTAAAGGCGTGTGGTTTTTCGTCTCGTATGAAAACAAAAACGTTTTTCAAGTTAGAGAACGTGATCACGGACGTTTGCGCAAGTTTTATTATATGCGTTGCTGAAAAATTGTTTTAAATTTAACTACTTAAAAAATTAAAGTGAACTTAAATAGAAAACAATAATAATAGTTTAAATAATTTGTGTGTTGTTTTTATTTTTGTTTTTTCTTAGTGGTTATTATTATCGGCAACAAAATTCATTAAGTCAAAGCAACAACAACAACAACAACAAAAAATGGTTTTAGGCATTAAAAAGGATGACTTTCCCATATTTTATGTTTTTTTTCTTTTAAAGAGGAAAGAGAAAATATGTATCAAGTAATGTAAAATATTAGGTCTTTGAAATTTTAGTTCATGCAAAGCTGTGTACTTTGTTTATAAGAAGCAAATTATTAAAAGTTTGCTAGCGAGAAAGTTACAAAAAATGAAACAAAAAGAATAAACTTACAACTACAAAAGTAATAACACTTTAGTCACTAACTGCATTATAAAAGTAACAAAACTATAATAGTGTTATTACATTAATAAAGCACTTTTTACTTTTAAAGTTCATCCTTTGTTCAAACAGCATTATTAATTCCAAACATTTATTAAAGTAGAAAAGCGTCTAGAAAAAATAAAGCCGATACTCAAATATTATTTAAAATTTCAGGAACTTTCACATATCACTTAAACAATGTTATAAAAAAGTACTTTATGAAAAGTATAGCATCATGAAAAATGTTAGGTAAAAATGCGCGTTAATTTTAAAATCAACCAATAAAAAATTGTTTTTAGGTAATTTTTAAATTAACGCGCGTTTTTACGGTCCATTTGTAACGTTTTTCATAATGCTAAACGTTTAATACAGTACGTTTTCATAAAGTTGTTTGTCATGTTTTTATAAGTTATTTTAGTTTTAATATTATTTGAACATCTACTTTATTTTTTTATATATTTTTTGACTTCAATTAAAATTTGGGAATACTAATGTTGCTTGAACAAAGAATGAATTTTAAAAGTTATTAGTGCGTTGTAAAAATAATAACACTATTATAGTGTTATTACTTTTGTAATGCAGTTAGTGACTAGAATGTTATTACTTTTGTAATCGTAAGTTTATTGTTTTACTTTTTATTTTTTCACTAACAAATTTAAGTTGATTCTCCCCTTAAAAACAAGGAACACAGTTTTGTATAAACTAAAATTTTGAATACTAGATATTTTTTCAGATTTTGCGTTTTGCATTTGCTTAATTCAACCCTTGTTGTTACATTAAAATTATAGAAATAAATTTTAGAAACACATTGCAGTTTGTATTTTTGCTATCCTCTTAAAAAAAAATTAAGAAAAGGAAAATTATTCTTTTCATTGTAGGCTTCAAACTGTTTTTTTTTTTTGCTTCGCCTTATCTAATTTTTGTTGCTGAATGTAACTCTAAAGAAACAAAAATAAAAACAGTACACAAATTATTTAAATTATTAATTTGTTTTTATTTTTTTCTATTTCAATCTCTTTTTGTTTTGTTAGTTTTTTTTTTTTTTGCTTTTGAAACTTTTCAGCATTATTGTAAAAATTGCTAACGGCCGTGTTCATGTTTTCTAAAATAGTGTAATCACGTTTGGTCATACGCCTTTCCTGGGAAGGCTTGATATATATATATATATATATATATACAGGCTTCGGCAGGAATGACGGGCTATAGCCCGTGTCCGTCTCCGCACCCGTCTAAGTCAGTTTAGACGGGCGAAATAAAGCCCGTCTGAAACATAAGTTTTGTGTAAAAAAAAAAGATGAATATTTTGATGTTTTTTTATTAAGATACTCTTTTAAAACTTCTCTCATGACATAATTTTAATATGGATAGCAAACTCCAACTTATAATTGTTTATATTTAAATATAAAAATTAAACAATTTAATCATTATTGTATAACATGATGTAGAAAATAATATAACTAAATCTTACAGTTTTTTAAACGACGATAACTGTTTGATATAATACCAAACAGTTGCCATATTATGTTCAAAATTTAATAACTATTATATTAAATAGGGAAATATACACATGTGATGCACAAGAAGTATCATGTTGTTTTTTTAGTTTTTCAATGTTTATAATAATAACGATAATAAACTAATTATCCATGTATTTCGCTTTTTTCCGATAAACTAGTTTGTCTTACTTTAAAGACATTTAAAGTGATATTTCCGCGTTAACTTCCGCGTTAACTTCACGTTTTTTTTTAAAGAGATGGCAGTTTATTTAATATGCAATTATATAACTCGTTATTGAAAATGAAATATCTCATTAAAAATCAACAAACGTCTAATCAATTTTTGTAGATAATATAAATAGTGTTGCTTTATAGTTATGAAGTTATTCAAGTTATCCAGTCATTCAAGTTTTTCAAGTTATTCAAGTTTTTCAGTAAAGATAGTAATGGCATCATCTGGTAGAAGAGTTACATTAGCAACATTTTTGAGTTGGGGTAAAGATGGAGTCTGTGGAAAAGAAACTGAGGTGGAGAATGGAACAATTTTTGTTGTGAAGATATGGTGTATGGTTTGTATAAAATATAAAAAAGAATTGCTTCGCGAGTTAAAAGGTCTGGCAAAATCAAAAGCATTAGCATTTATAGAGGGCACTACGAACGTTAAAGCTAGCAACATACATACGCTTATATACATGCTTATATTGTATATAAAGTAACGGAAGCCCCGGTATCTTAAGAAATTATTAGTACTTCTAAATAAAAACTTATTTTATTAAAAGAAATTAGATTTCAAATTTTTTATTCACGTATCAGAATAACTATTTCCGATCAGGATAGGCATAGGTAAAGCAAAGTTATAAAAATATAAATAACATTTTAAGTTTTTAATTTGCACGCCCAATAGAATGCAAGAGTATATAAATAATTGAATTTGAAAAATAACATAGTTACGTATCATATTACCAAGCTAACACCAAACAATTCTAAAACTATCGAGCTCATTGATTCAAGGTTAAAAAAAAAAAAGATTTCAAACTATTTGCTGAATAATTAAAAAAATTAGATTTTGAAAATATTATGTAATATTTTTATTCACAAAGAATAAGAGAAACGAATGAACTAAAAAAGCACGATAAAAACCTGTATAATTTAATCGAATACTTAAATAAAACAATAATATATAAATATACTCAAAAAGACTTCGGTAAAAAAACACGTTAGGATGCTTGAATAAGGAAACGTGATGAAACGCCATGGTTGTTTCGAGGATTTTTCCCGTCGTTTTCACGTTCATTCGTTTGACTATATCTGCCAGATATTATCTGGAATAAAGATTTTAAAAAAAAAACATAAAAAAAGAATAAAGAAATTTAAATAAAAGCAACCATAAAACAACTAACCCACGTGAAACGAAATTATATCTGTGCAAGTGAAAACTTTGAAAAACAATTATTGAAATCTTAGTTTTAAGTATTATCCAACTCATTTACGGCAGTGTTTTAATTACTTAAGTAATTAAGCATTTTAAACAGTTAATCGCTTTCTAACATACTATTTTAGTGCAATTCACAAAATGCTTAATATTCAATGACATTTTCATTCAAAAAGAGAAATTAACAAATTTAAAAAAAAAAAAGTTCAAACTTTAGAATTTTTTTTAAAGTTTAAAAAAGCCCGTGCAAGACCATCTAACGGGCGGCCCTCATAGCCCGTCAAGTCTATTTAAGACGGGCTTTTCATAGCCCGTACGGTTTTTATTCCTGCCGAAGCCTATATATATATATATATATATATATATATATATATATATATATATATATATATATATATATATATATACAGTGCTGAAAGTGGAGAAATAACAGTAACGGGATGGTATTCAGTAAATTAAAAATACCATCCCGCCTAATCATTGTTATAAAAAGGTGGCAGGATGGTTGATACTTTATAAAAAGGTGTCCTAACAGTTTTTATTTTGTACTGTTTTCGTCTTCCTTGACTTAGTAGTATAAAAGTATAATAACAAATAAAGAAGTATAGGAAGTAACAAATAACATATAAAATAACAAATAAAGTAGTATAGGAACCTAGATGACAAATTTGCAAGTTAACTATAAAATTATTATTTATTTGTAAAAAAACAAGGTGGACACGCAGATAATACTTAAAATTGTTTAAAGTTTAGCAAACTTTAAATGATTTTAAAGTTTACTAAACTTTATATGATTTAAAATTATTTAAAGTTAAGTAAAGCCTGAAGCTTAGCATCCTTTAAAAAAAACTTTTGATAGTTCCTAAGTAATTAATTTATTAATTTTTTTTAATTTTTTGTCATTAGATAGAGCACAAAATTCTCCATAATATAGAAATAAAATAATTTTTAAATATTTTTGTTTAAAACCAATTTTTATCAAATAAAAAATATTTTTATAAGTGTTCAGTTTTCCCCAATGTTCAGTTTTACCCCTTTTTTTTTTTTACCTCTTTTTACTCTATTCAATTATTCTGAGGTGCAAAATAAATATGCTCCACCCCCAAACACTGTTTATTGATGATACAGCTTTTCTAAATTATGTGTAAAAAATTTTCCAAGATTTTTATGCAGAGCTCTACAGATGTTCAACAAAATAAGCTGTTAAAAGAAACCAATTAACTTTTTTAATCAATTTTTTAATTTTGATTTCATTAACATTGATACTATCAAGTGCAATACAAGAAATAGTGAAGTGAGATAAAAATACTTTTATCTCACTTCACTTTTATTTATAGAAGACACGTATAATACAACTAATTAACATTACCAAAACTGTTTAACAGTGTTCAACAAATAATTTTTTTAAAGTATAATGTTGGTCTACCTAAGGACAATAAAACTTTTTTATTTCGCTTGACCAATTCTAGCTTAGTCTAGCGTAGATTGACAGTTTCTAGCTTAATATTCTAGTCTATTCTAAATACTGGTGTAGTTTGCTTTACCTATTAATCTGGTGTAGTTTCTCTTTTTAAACCATCTTTTTTTTTTTTTTTTTTTTTTTTTTTTTTTTTTTTTTTTTTTTTGTAATCAAATTAGTTTCATATGTTGAATGCATGCACTCCCCTTGCATTTATTTAATCATTATCTAACAGTGTTCAATTGGGTTAAGATTTGGCAATAACCAATTCAAGGATCCAAAACTGGAATGCCACTGGTTGACAGCGATTGTTTTGCACTTTCAGTGGTACAGCAGGGGGCTGAACTCTGCAGAATAATTTTATGATTATGACAAAGAAATTAAACAATGGATAGAGAAAAAATAAAAAAAAAAGGTTAGAAAAGTATTAAGCAAATAACACTATTTAATAGATAGTTTGGGAACTAGTTTTAGATTTCTAGTTTTTACTTTTGATTTTTATTTTTTAGATTAAAACACATTAATTGTAGCATTTATACCAAAAAATAATGCACAAGTTAAGAAAATTCCAAACTGGAGACAGTTTGGAGAAATTGCTTCAATAATTTGTTTATCTGCAGCCTTAAAGTAACTAAAAGTTAATGAGAAAGTCAGGGTATTATAAATTGTCATTTTGTGGACAAAGGTTTTTTTTAACATGCTCTAGGTTAGTTCATATTGTTGCACCTGTCATAATAAAAATGTGATGAACAAAGTTCTATTGCAGAACAAAAAATCTGAAATGAAACATCATCATACATGTTTTTATAAATGATATTGTAGCAGTTCATTGTGTTATTTAAAAAAATATGGACTACATTGTAACATTACATTAAAATGTTGTCTTGGAAAGTAAGCAACTCACCAAAACAACTTCTCAAACAAATGATTAAGTTTCTTATATAAAAAATAGCAATGTATCTTTCAGTTTGTGGTTGGTTGTGTGTAGCATCTTCTTAAGTTAATAGCTTTGTTATCAGTCTCATGTTATTCTCATAATAGCTCTTAATTGAAAAATTAAAAGGTGATAATACTGAAAAAATAATATGATTATTCAAACGCATAATGATGATAAAGAGAGTTTGAAATTTTTATTGTTATGAGGAAACAGTTTTGGTAAATTCATTCATCACTAGGTGTGTTCAAATTAATGGCAATATAATTGAGGCTTGTTGGTTAAGAAAAAACTACATAACAAATATAAAATGTTAAATCTCAATGCAATAATTAAAAGATTAAATATGGGCTTTTATTGGAAAATAGAAATGTATATTTGCCCTTATTTAAAAGTAGTAATTTATTGTATCATTAGCAGACTCAATAAAAAATTCAGATTGAACAAGAAAATAAAAGATTCAAATAAAATGCTGATAAGATGAATGGGTGAGTATTTAGTCGTCTTTAGTTCTAAAATTTGAACCTTGCCAGTAAGAAAGGTACCTTATTGTTATAGCTCATATGTTGAAATAGTCTTTATGACAAAGGGGAGGTGTTTGATAGCAACTAAATAGTTGTGCTAAAAACTGCAAGCAAGAAAATAATATTAATAATAAAAATATTTTAATTTTTTTTATCTTGTTGATATTATTGATATTTTATTTTTATAATTAATTACAAATTTAAAGCAACATGCTGTTTTAATAATTATTAATTAATTTTTTTACCTTTTAATGCTTTATATAATATCAAATTTCCATTAAATTGTTTTAAAAACATCTATAAAAAAAATTTGCATTAAAAAAAACTGGTTGCATGAGACAAAAAGTTAAAGGATAAAATAGCAGAATAATTATGCTAACTGTATTGATTGAGAAATTAAGAGCTTTATTTTAAAATCATTAGAAACTTAGAATTTCAATTATGTTGACATTTTTAACATATTTAAAAGCAATATGTATTTGTCTTGGCTTATAATTAAAATAAACAATTTTTTATTTAGCAAAAAGAATTTGAGTAACTTATTTTGCTAAAAAATCTGTAAAGTTTGTAAATCTGTAAAATCTGTAGAGTTTTTGAGTTTCCCTTCAAAACCTAAAAAATATACGCAATTTTTTTACAATGAAAAAGTTCCTGATTCATAAAAAATTTAGAAACAGAAAAAATTTATTTTTAAATTTTTTGTTGTAATAGATGTTTCCATTCATAGGTGCTACTCAATCATAGCCTTATGTCTTTTTATATATAAAGTGCTACTCAACCACAACCTTGTGATTTTATATTATTACAGGCCTTGCGATGAATAAGAACTGCGCGACGCATAAGCACGACGTCATTTTTGATGTCATTAAATTCTTTTTATTTGCTTTTCATATTTATAGACATTAACTGCACCAATTTACTTAATTACCGCAAAACTACTTTAAATCGTTTATGTAGAAATGTTATCATTTTAAAATGTTTTGGAATGTGTCGTTTTTTAAAATGTAAAAACATTTGTTTATTTTCTCGATGTTTGTCACGTTTTGTTTATTATAAACGAATAAAAAACATTATAACTTAAATTTAAAAATGATTATAAAGTATGCTAATATTTGATTTGTTTTTTCTTAAATATGTAATTTAAAGTTTTTTAAATAATTATTTTTTCTTTTTAAAAAGTCAGAGAGTAATAAACTGGAAATTTTAATAGTGTACGATTAAAAACTGTGCAATAGCTAATATTTTTACAAGCAATTTTATATAATATTTATTTATTTATTTTTATTTATTTTCATAAAGCGGTTGATAAGCATAATCACTCGTATTAATAAAAAACTTAAACAAACGTTTTGAATAAATTTTTAATGTTTAACAAGGAATTTTATTTCTAGTAAAATAAAATAAAATGTTAGAATAAAAATCTTATAGGTATAAAAGAAATATTTCAGCGAAAAAATTATTCTTAAAAATTATTATTAAAAATTATTCGAAAAACTATTGACGTTTTATTTTTCAGCAGCTGTTCTTGAGCACGCTTCGTTGAGTTTCGGTAACTTTTAACATAAAAGCGATCGTTATTATTTAAGTAATTTTTTTGAGTTACTTTTTACAAAAATTTTAATAACTGTACTTTTTTATTGAATCAAGTAGAATACGTTTTAATATTAATCCTTTTTTTTTTTTATTTGCCCTCACCAATTTTTAAAATGTTTCCTCGAAATTACTCTTAAATACTTTAAATACGTCTAACAGTTAATAAATATTTTTAAATCTATGGAATAATTTTAAAACCTAACCTACTCCCGTAAAATAATTATTTAAGTTTAAAATCTAAAACTAAAAGAAAGTATTTTTGTTAAATTTTATCGACAACTTTGCTATTGCTGAATAGTTTTATTAAAATGTTAGCTTAAAAGATTTAAACTTGTTTTTTAATCTGAATTTTTTCTACTTGTAAATAATGAGCATATTTAATTTTTTTTAATTCAAACTTTTATTTCAACTTTTTAAAATACTTTATTAAATGTTAAAATAATCATAAATTACTTCATTAAAATTCCGCTCAAAAATATCTTTAAATATACTCAAACAAAAATTTTTTTGCTAGACGCAAATAGCCCTAGCTACTCGCAAAATCGCTCTTGGATGACGTAAAATTCACATCGACCGGCGCTTTATCGCAAGGCCTGTTATTATTCATTTTTGTTATCATTCTTTACATCTTTATTTACACTCTATTTATACATAAATGGTTATATAATTTACATCTGTATTGTTTGCTGTTATTTATTTTTTGGACATTTTAGATATTACATTGATGGGGAAGACTCTCCGTCTATAGAAGCTAACCTGAATATGCTTCATGGAATAGGTCTCTTTGGAGATGAGTTTATAAATAAAAATAAATCATTGAATAATCTTGAAGCTGCTTGGGGCACTAAGTGGATTGGTTACACAGCTCAAAATGGTGGATATTACACAACAATGAGATTTCCGTTTCAGCATTCTATAAGAATTACATTTATTCCACAGAGATCACTATATTATTGGTATATTGCTCGTGGTGTTGAACATTATCCATTAATAATAGGTGATATTCAACTCCCATCAAAATCTCGATTAGTCTTACAGAAAACTGTTAAAAGCCTGAAACATCTTGACTATGTAAGTCTGGCTTCTTCACGCAAAGAGGGTTTGTTGTTTATGGTGACATTGGCAACAAGTAGTACAAATTTTTATCATCTTGAAGGATGTTTTCGAATAGTTGTAAATCATAAACCTGTAAGTTTTTTATCCTCAGGAACTGAAGATATGTTTCTTTCTGCATACTACTATAATAAAGGAGTTTTCCATACAGATCATTCTGGATGTACCTATTTAAAGAGCCCTGGATCAATGAGTGCTTATAAGTTTTTTGTTGATGATCCTGTGTTTGTGTATGATGGTTTTCATTTAGTGTGGAGATCTGGTGAGGTAAATAATTTACTACCAAAATTAGTTTTTAAATTTGTGTATATACATTTGTTTGTGTCAATGATATGTCATATAACTAGATGTCTAACTTCCATCCGAAAAGTGAAGCCACTTTTTGCCCATTTTATAAATGGCAGATTAAATTTGTAAACAGATATTTTTAACTTTTCTCTTCTTAAATGTAATAAATATTTTTGAAATTTAAATACTATTTATGCAAAAGTATTAAGAGGAAATTATAATACTTGTATATATATATATATATATATATATATATATATATATATATATATATATATATATATATATATATATATATATATATATATATATATATATATATATATATATATATAATGAAATACATTAATTTTAAACTTTTTTTAAACCAATTTTGGATCTTAAAAAAGCTTGCGGAATAATGTATCATTTAAAAACAAATAGTGACACGTGAAATGTCACCAGACAAATGATTATAAAGATAATAAAGATTTAAAATCTGCAACAAAATCATTATATATATTAACATGATTGTAGATTTTGAGCTCACATAATTTGCTAAAGCTCAAAGTTAAATCTCATTTCATAAAAGTTGCCATGGATGGTCAACATCCTAATTCTTGTTAAAATGTTGGACAAAGAATATATATATATATATATATATATATATATATATATATATATATATATATATATATATATATATATATATATATATACACATATATATATGTATATATATATAAATAAATATATATATATATATATATATATATATATATATATATATATGTGTGTGTGTGTTTGACCAGGATTGTCCTGGTTTTATGCCATTTGTCCCAGCGTCCCAACGATTTTCGTTTCGTCTCGTTTTCGGAAAAAATGAATTTTTTGTTTCATTTTGTCCAAAACTAAATTCATAATTTTGAATTTTGAAAAAAAAGCAGATAACGAAGACCATATTGTTTGATACTAATACAATAATATATATACCTTATTATATATAGCAATATTAATATTTATAGCTTTAGCAGATTGTTTAAAATCCTCTTATTTTAGTATGTGATCAAATCCAATCTATGCAAATATATATGATCTAGTATAGATTGCCAGGAGAATCTGCACTTGTAGAGCGTATTTTTTAATCATAAAAAATATTTGTTCAGATGACCGAGGTCTTTTGAAGGAGTTTATATGCATTGCTGTACTGCAAATTGAACTTTATTATTACACGCTCACTTTTTTATGAAAAAATTTTAAAAAATTTTAACTTGGTAGAAAAAGTACATTCTACTGAAAAGTATAACTCATATAAAAACATAGTTTTTTTCTCATATTTCTTTTGTTAGATTTAACAAATAATAAAAAAATATTTTGGTTTTGTTTCTTTGCTTTAGATTGCCCTTCAGCAGCTGAGCAATGGAGTATTTCCTTTTTTATATAAAGACTTTCATGAAACCTTATTACAGGGCGCTATGCTTTTTGAAGCACAAAAAAATACCATTTTTCTTCTCCTCTCTGTTCATTTATTTCAGCATTTTTCAACAACCCCTCCCCTTCCCCCATCCCCTCTACATACACACATATACCGATACCTTTTTCTATACAACTCCCTCCGTCGCCACAATCGCTGCGTGTCCCGGTTTATAACTTCAAAATTATGGTAAGCCTATATATATATATATATATATATATATATATATATATATATATATATATATATATATATATATATATATATATATATATATATATATAGGGTTAGGAATATTGTAATTGTAATGAAAACAATAACAGTAACAATAACTATTGTTATTGTATTAACTTAATTTAGAAACAATAACAATACTTGTGATTTACAACTATTGTAATACTGTAATACAATAACAATAAATATTAGACCGGGTGAATAAAAAAGTGCAATTGTTTCTACTCAGTAATTGGTCAGCTTTACGTGAATGAAAGCGTAATGAATTTACCGTAAATTTTTAGCTGATAATTACTGAGTAAATTGCTTAACTTTACATAAATAAAAATTTGAGCAAAACTGTTTAAGATTTTGTTCACGTAAAGCTGACCAATTACTGAGTAAAAGCAATTGCTCATTTTTATTCACCCGGCCTATTGTATTGCAATTCATCTTTATAAAACAATAACAATATCTGAAAAAAAAAAGTATTGTAGTGACCCACTACAATAACAATAAATATTGTATTGCAATTCGTCTTTATTATACAATAACAATATATTTTTATTGTATTAAAAAAATAATTTTAGTGTCAAAATTTATTAAATGTTTTAACAGTCCAGTCCGAGATAAGTGACCTTGAAATAGGGTACAATTAATATATAAGTATTGATTCTGTTTCTTTTTTATTTTTTGAATATTACTTGTCCTCATTGCAAACTTTATATAGGTCTATAAAAGTGAGTTTAATCAGGCCTGTATTTCTTTTACTGCTGGGGATAGACATGATTAATTACTACCATTTCTTCCACTAAGTTATTTGCATTTCCACTAAATTATTGCTTTTACATTAGGCACCTATCTAATTGTTTCGAAACTTACTCAACTCACACTTACTCTAATATAATTTTTGTTTTCCTTCGGCTTTATGGCTGTATGTGTATCATAAAATAACTGGACATCTAGTTGCAAAGTTGTTAAAGAGTTTTGTTACATAAATTAAGAACAATATTTAGATGGTGTTCTAAACTGCCTCATTTTTCAAAAATGATCCACACAAAATTTACTGTTAAGGTCTGATAGGAGATGAACAATCTGAAAATGTAGAAAATTTTTTAACAAAACAAAAGTAGTTCACATTTTTAGACAATCAAATCGATAATTACCCAGGGCAATCGTTCTCTGATTCAATAATGATGTAATTGATTACACATTAGCGGTTAGATATATTGAAAATTAATTAAATATATTGAAAAAAATTATTTTCATGCGCTTAATGTAGTTAATCAATTAGTTTAAACAACATCATTTGGTGAAACATGTCAATATCAGTTTAGACAAAATTACAAAAGTATATAAAATTTCGCTTCTTAGAGTAAATAATTATTTAATTACAAGCAAATGATAAATTATATATTTGTATGATTTTGATTATTATTTTAATGTTAATTCTAAATAAATTATTATTTAAACAGTTATATATTTAACTCAAAATAAATAAAAATTTTATATGTAAATGGTTGCTAGAAACAGGTGCCACGTACGCCCCTGAACCTAATATTTATTAAGTATACGTAATATATATACTTCTTTGACTTTCCTGGCTTCACTTCACTTCTCAAAAAAAATAAAATTTATATATATGAATGCTGAAAATGAATGTCACGGGCACTGCTAAATTATCTAGTGCCCAAATGATAATAAATGCGTGAAAAAAAAATCTAAATGCAATAAAATACACCGCAGTAATCATTGTAATTGTTTTTATCCCAGCAATACAATACAATAGTTATTGTAATTGTTTTACATCATAGCAATACAATACAATAGTTTTAGAGCTTCAATGTATTGTTAGAAAAAAAAAAAAAAATACAATAGCTATTGTAACTGTTTTTATTCACAGCAATACAATAACCTTAAATAATGTTTTAGTTGCATCTCTGGTATTACAATACAATATTATTGTATTGTAATTATTATTGTATTTAATTTTTACAATAACAATAACAATAATCCAAACCCTATATATATATATATATATATATATATATATATATATATATATATATATATATATATATATATATATATATATATATATATATATATATATATATATATATATATATATATATATATATATATATATATATATATATATCATGTGACTAATAAGCATAAGTCACATGATCTTCTTTCAGTCTTCTGAATATATTGCTCTCAAAAATTGCTTTGTCTTACATCTCTCATCTTAAAACAAAATAATTTGGTTCCATTATAAATCAGATCAATTACAACTTGTAACTGCATAATAGTTTCAAAGGATATAGATGCTATGGTTCTGCAAAGAGTTTTATCTGATACACCAACTTGAACTGTAAATTTGTTTTCCACCAGTTGAAACTATCATTTTAAAAATATTTTCTTTTTTCATTTTGTGTTTCACAATTTCATTATTCTTTTTTAAAGTGTTTTATTTTGTATTTTAAAAAAATCAATAGAAAAAAAAAGGTATCTTTGATAGGACTCGAACCCCTATCTCCACCTCCGTATGTCAGCGCTCTAACCGCTCGGCCTTGTTAACACATACTTTAGATAACTTTTAAAATTATATAAAAATCAAAAGTCTATATAAAACGGAAATAAATGCAATAGATCAAAATAATGTTGTTGCAATGCAACAATAAATGCAAGTAAAACTGTAAAACTTGATATTACATAAATAATAAAAATACACAAAACATACAGTTTTGTTTAAAGATACACCTTCCTCTAAAGATACACTTTTGTTATCGTTTTCTTATAAAGCAAAGCTGCTGCAATTCTTTCTCGCCATTACCTCAGTTGCAATGGTTGCTTAGAGTTGCTGGTTGCTGTGTCGAACACTCTCAAAAGAGCACTACTACTACTATTAAGTTCAGCATTATTAAAAATTATATATATATATATATATATATATATATTATTATATATACATATATATATATATATATATATATATATATATATATATATATATATATATATATATATATATATATATATATATATATATATATATATATATATATATATATATATACTTTATACAGGACTTTTGAGAGCACCAACAGCGCCCAGGTCAAAAATGGATAATGGCACCCTTATTTTAAAATGAGAGATTACAAAATTTAAAGTTTTGTGAACGCAGCAATTATTTATTTCTGATACAGTGCATTGTATTTCTGCTTTACTATTAGTTTTCTGGATTGAGAAACGGGCTCAATACAGACATATGAATCAAAACATTTGTTTTAAAACTAATTAAAAAAAAATCAATCAACAAAATTCTCAAGAAAGATTAATAAGGCGTTTTAAAAGGAATTTTTTGAGCTTTTCTTGGCAGCCCAAATATCGATGACAATGTTCTAGCTCACCTTTTTAGTCAAAACTTCTTCAATCAAAATAATCAAATATCAGTAACACAATCTTGGTTCATGGTCAAGCGGATAGAATTTCTGACATTTTTTAGTTCATTAAATGATCGTTTACTCTCAGCAACTGGCTCAGGAATGATGCAAATGTATAAAAAAATGATTTCAAACTTCTCAAAGATTTGATTGAGTAGCTGAATTGGATTTCCTTGCTTGAAAATTGTTTTGTGGCTGTTTTTAAACGACAAACTTCTTGAATGAGGTTCTCTTTGTTTAGATCTTTCGGATAAGACCGTGCAAGTTCTCAAGCTTTATTTTAAGTGGATAGATCATCATTATTCAACCAGACAAATTGAAATATATTGCCAACCATCCTGTTTACCTTAAATCTTGAATCAATCTGCTGGATCAGACCATCTAAATTAAAATTAATGTCCCAAAACTAGCAATACAAATTCAAAAGATGATAATCATTTTTTTAAGTTTTTTGCTTGGCTGAGCTACTCACTGGTCAGATCCACGTTTTCCATAGCATGTTTAACACCTGCCAATATTTTTCTCGGCCTTTTGGCAAGTGGTTTGATCAAGTTGGTCACGAGAGCCCTATCTTGTCATAAAATGTCTATGCAGTGAAATTCTTTTTGCTAAAGGGAGGATCTTCCAGCAGGCAAGACTAACACTAAAAAAATATGCGCCAAGATTTGACATTCTCAAAGAATACTTTGATCTCAATGATTAAACTGCGTGCACAGCAGCCAAATTCAGACTGTGAGTGCTACAGGAAACGTACAGAGCTTCCGAATAATTTTGCCTTATCAAGGCTTGTAAGCAACTAACATAATGAATCCATTATTATGTCTCTGACTGTAACAGTTTCAAATATCCTAGCCTTGAAATCATATCAGAGATAAGCTTAGCTATATCAACTCCTTTCTTCATCTTGATAGCTTTAACACACAAGAATTGTTCTTTAATTTGCCAGCGATTAGTTTCTCTTTCATAGAGAAAAGAACAAATAACAGAGGTTATCTGCTTAGTGTGAGATATTGGTGGTACCATCAACTATGACTGTGAAGTAGAAATCATCCTAGTTTCTTCAACAGCTGCACTTTGGGTGGCACTTCTGGAGTTCTGAATATTTACCAGTGGAACTTGTAAGACGAATGTCTTGTCTGCCTCTTTCTAATCCTTGTAGAACTTTTGGTGCAATGGGCTGGGTTGATGCTGCTACGCACAATTTATGAGTTTCTTTTATTGATTCCTAACTACTTCATTCCAACAAAGAATGGACAATTACTTGCTTTTGAATACTGCATTCATTCTAGGGGTCCTTTTAAAAAAATCACATCTCAATCTTTTTGACTCAGACCTCAAAGAGGTGTTAGCATTGATAATTACCATATATATATATAATAAGAGATGTTAGCATATATATCAATATATATATATATATATATATATACATATATATATATATATATATATATATATATATATATATATATATATATATATATATATATATATATATATATATATATATATATATATATATATATTCATATATATGTTCATATATATATTATATGAACATTTGAAAATAAAATACTTATGTATGCATGTATGTATCTAATTTTTATAATAATTCAAGCTAATTATGGACAAAAAGAAATGTATTTTCTATTTTTGTTTGACATTTTTAAAAATATTTCAAATTTATTTAGCCCAACACTTTAAGTCCCAACGCGTGTTCGCCTGATACTGAAGAAGTTTGTGTGGTTGAAAAAAACAATCAAGTATTTTGCGAATCAAACACTTTTTACTCCGATATCGATGATACGAATGTAGTTACAAATATAACAAGTTATGTTTGGATGTATCAGTGGTAGCGTGTTTTAAACTTTTTTATATACTTTTATTGTATATTCCCCCAACGAGGCAGAAGGAAGTAAGTCGCCGAAATATGATTACGTAAAAAACTTAAAACTAATCTATTTTAAAACCTTTCTGAGTTCATTGCAATTATATGTATATAATAGTGATATTATATGCTATTAAATAATGTAAAGCCGATTCGTATATACCATAATGTGGAACTTGCTTCCTACATTTCAATAGACAATTAATTGTTTTGTAGGCCAAAAGTGGACTTGCTTCCGTTTGCTGAGGCAGGGCAGTATAAAGCGTTATATTAGTTTTTTAATTTTGTATAAAATTAAATGTTATATTAGTTTTTTAATGTTGTATGATTTTGTATTGGTTTTATACAGGTCCGCCGAGAAAGGGAGGGGGGCGAAAAGAACAGTTTGTCCCGGGCGGCAGATAACCAAGGGGTGCCAAATCAATAGAATTTACCTTAAAAATAAGGTCTTTTACCTATAATATAAGAACACTTTGATAAATAAGGGCGCTGATTAGGGTTATTGTCTCAGGCAACGTGACGGTTCTTGGCGGCCTTGGTTTTATTTATATACAATTTTTAATATATGCTACTAAAATATATATATATATATAATATATTTGTAATATAAACTTGTAAACTATAATAGATAATTATTGAAATAAATATGCAGTATTTAACATGTAGTTGCAACTGCGTATGTATTAGATGTATTCAGTGTTGTGATAATTTTTAAATTTATACACTTCCCACTTTAAAAGAGTTAGGGGTTCTAATACCCGTTCAAAAGTTTTAGATCCGTTAATATACCTATTTATACCCAAAAATATACCTTTTTAATTAGTTGATAAAAAGTTAATACCTTATAAAAAGTTTTTTTCTTTTATTAAATAATACTTTATAAATCTAAAACGGACCACTAAAGTGTGATCTATCAAATCTCTCACTTAGACAATAATTATTACAAGTTTAATTATAGAATATTGTTCAGCTGAACATAAACATTTAAGAAAACCATCCAAAAAATATTTAATATATATATATATTATTTAATTTTAATATACATTTTAATATATATATTAAAATATTTAATATATAAGTTTTTATTATTGTTAATTTTTGGCAAAAAAAAATATTTGAAAGGACTACTTTTAAAATTTTATTAAGCTAAATTTTTCTTAGTTTGACTAAAACTGAAGTTACTGCAAATTTTTCTTTACTCAGAGTGTTAATTTTTTATGTAAATAATGAAAAGAAGATTATGTACCATCTACAAATCATGTAATATTCAATTTTTGATTGATATAATCATTATTATGAACAGATTTAAATATCTTTGAATGTTTTTGACCCATTTTAGGCTATATCCACGGAAAACCGGCTCCTAGCATTTCTTTGTTCAACGGTTGTTTTTTAACATAAAGTATTCATTTTCTGTTGTTAAATTGAAGAACATAGATAGAATTTCCTATAAAAAACTTTTCAGGAACTTTTATATATGTTCTACAATTTTTTTTATATGCATTCACACAAGAGAATTCTCGTGAGAATGCATATAAAAGACACCGCCCTAAACTTGATAAACGTGATGCTGGAGAAACAACGAGTAGTTTAACAATTTAAAAATAAGTATCTAATTAAATAGATATAAATTAAGTAGGCGCGGATAATCGAATTAAATAGGATAATCTATTTAAATAGACGCGGACTGGCCCAGCCAGGCTTGGCCTGTCTCTACTGACCAGGAAATTTCCCGGTGGGTTCTTGGTTCAAATGGATATCGATCTCCAAAAGTTAATTTTTTGTTTTTTTAAACTTTTAAACTACACGGGTGTTGTAGCGTGTGCTGATGACATTATATTTCATATTTCCAACCTCTTTGGCCTTCAAAAATTTATTAAATCCTGTAATGAATACACAAAAATTAATAGCATAAAGTTGAGTGCTGACAAAACCAAGTTCTTGCTCACCGGAAAAAATTTAATTAAAAACTACACTCAACCACAAACAAATAAAACTGCATAGTAAACGTAGCTTTATATGAGATACTAATATATATAAACGTAGCTTTATATGGAATACTAATAGTACGCCTTTTGCTTTACTTAATCGTTTAAACATTGATAACAGAATATTAGATTTTCTAAAATTCTAAAAAATGTTGACCAATCGAGTTGTATTTAGCTAACAACAACAATTAAATCTTGGGCGCCCAGCATTTTCAGCCATTGACTTTAATGGATATTTCATGTTGTGTACATTAAACAAAGTCCTTCCGTCCTGAGATGAAGTTTCTTTTTTACTTCTTAGTCTATTTAAAGATAATGCTTTTTAAATTTTTTTTTTTAATTTATATAATTATTTACATTTTTTAGGTTTATTTTAAAAATTTTGTTTTTTAAAAGTTTTTTTATACTTTTTTTTCAACGATTTCATTTATTTAGACTAAACTAAATTTTGTTTTGCGTTACTTTTCTTATAGTGTTGTTATCGAATTCGATCAAATCGACTAAAAGTCGAATAGTCAAAAGTCAAAATTAGTCGACTCTGAAAAATCTAATAGTCGCTTTAATCGACTTTAGATTTTCTATTAATCAACTAAAAGTCAACTTAGTCGGGTCCTAAAATTCTTATCTTAATCTCTTCGTTTGATATAACTTTGTCAATATTTAATTTTATCATGGAATCATGATGCTCACCAATTAGTATAGATATATCCTTATAAGTAAATTATTTTATTAAGATAAAACATTTGTAAAGATTGAGCCATGCGCAAGATCATTATTCATAGCTGGGTTTTTAATTCAACCGAAATATCTGAACATTGAAACTAATTTGCTGCTTCACATAAACTCAGCTCTCAGCTTACTGTATGTTGTGCCACTACATTAATGTTTATTTTTTCTCGTTATACTGACTCGTTATAAAAAGTTAATTCTTTAAAAAAATATTAAATAATGTGTCATTAGTTAACGATGGCAAAAAGATACAAAGTTTTACAAATCTGAAATCCATAAAAAAGTTTGGTCCTACCAGCCTCCACCTTGATACACCACAAAAATTACGCCTTACAAATTTCTTATTTTAATTGTTTTGATAAATGATATAGGGAGAATCTTTTTTAATTCAATTAAAATTCAAATAAAAACTCTCTGTTTTAATTCAATTAAAATTCAATAAATGAAAAAATTCAATAAAATTCTTTTAAAATTGGTTTAACTCTCTTTAGAAATTATTAATGATTAGAATAATTATAATAACAATAATAATAATAGGTAGTCATGCAAATCCTTTAGGACATTATCTCTGCATGAAGGAATCTGAACACACTTAAAAACCTGACTTCTTTGACTTAATTGTAATAGCTATTTTATTCTTATTTTTTTTATAGTAGAAATAAAATGTCGAATCGAAACATTCATAAAAGTAAAGTCTGGAATTATTTTGTGAAAAACAATGGCTCTACTATAACAACGTGTAAATATTAAGATACTTTAACAAACGAAATTTGCAACAAAGAGCTAAAATACAAGCTCAATGGCAAATGATTTGAATAGTAACCGTCGGATTATATATTTAAAGAAGCAAATTGAGTTAATTCTAAATGAATGGAAAATAAGTGACAAAACACTTTCAACGAGTAGTGACACTGCTGCGAATATCAAACATTGTCTAGAAGATCTAATTAATAAATTGAACATACCTTGTTTTTGTCATATATTAAATTTTATTGTTAAAGATGTTCTTGTAAAAAAGAATGAGCTATCAAATGACGAAAATCATTACGTTTTTTTTTTTGCGAGTGGACAATAAAACAAAATAAACCGACAAAACAGTAAACTCATAAAACAGTAGTAAAAAAATAGCTATAAACAACAATTAGTAGTGACCTTAATGATTAATTAAAAAAACTTATATTTTGGAGAATTTATGTTTCAAGAAACAAAAATAAAGTTTTACGCAAGATCTCAAAAAAGCTGTCAGTTGCTCAGAGAAGAAAATTAGTCAAGAACTCTGAAGCATCCCATGAATCTGTGTTAAGTAAAGTGCTACACCTGACACTTTTTTCACGTTCTTGACAACATCGTGAATAAAATATTTTATGTGATAAAAATTCCTTAAAAACATTAAGTGAGACCTACCAGACAGTCTAACCATAAGGAAAATAAGGTGATTAACCTTCTGTTGTGTAATACACCTTCTTTAGCTAACTTTACCACCTGTTTATTCATCTTTTTATTTTCATCGTTTATTTTCATCTTTGGTTAAAAATCTCAGGAAGTACCAAAACAAGGTAAAAAATTTGTAATTTGCGTATGTATAAGATGCATTCAGTTCTTTGATAATTTTTATCGTGTTGTGATAAACCTATAATATTTGAAACAGGTGTTAATATTACAATCACAACAGATGTTTTACACAGATGTGCGAAACATCTGTTTACTTGCAGATTCTATCTAATACCCCGTCCACTTGACCAGAACGGCTGGTTTTAAGAGATAGAGACTGAATTATCAAAATGGATTCAATAAATTTCCTGAAGAGCATAAGCGACGATGTTAAAACACTAGGAAGCTAGGATAAAATCTGTATCAGCAATTCAAAACCAATACAGTTTTTATTGAAGCGTTGTTGATGTTCTGAAATTCTTGAAGAATAAAGTTATAAATTTATCTATTCGTCAGTAATTTAAGTTTTTATCTAGAATTACTAATTTTAAATGAAAACTTAAATTACTGACAAATAGGTAAATTTATAACGGTATTCTTCAAGATAAAAGAATATTATCGCAAAAAAAAGAATAAAGGGACTTGGGTGGGTAATTCCAGTTAATAAGATCTATCCAAAGTATATCACTTCTGATTCTTCTCTATATCAGGGTGGTAAGTCCTATTGTTTGAGTCTATCTTTGTATGGCAGTTTTTATATTGAAAAAATTACTTTTGTGGTTTTTTGTTGAATGTTTTCTGAAATTATGTTTGATATGGTAACCATGATTGAAATGCAAATTCTAAATGTGGTCTTATATATATTGTATATAGCATTTTCCACAGATTTAAACCTCTGTGCTAAAATGATTTTTTAATAACTGCATATATTTGATTGACTTTCATAGCAGCATAATCTACTTGCATCTTGACTTTAATTTCTTGATCATTCGACAGCTTTATTGATATCAGTTTGTAAAAATCCATATCTGATGGTGAGCTGATTACCCCAAAAATTTTGCTATCATCAGTATTTAATTATATGTTATACAAATTGGTAGGTGGTGTAAGTATTAAAGTATTGATGACTTCACAAAAGGCTTATATACACAATTTTTGATGGGAGGAGCAACTACGTTTGGCTTTCACAGCCAAATTTAGGAACGGCCTTAGTTCCAACACTAACGTATGGTCTTCATGAAAAAATTCAAGAAAAAGCTTCATATAGTTGGAAGGAACGCACTAAAGTCATTTCTAAACGTTTCAAAACATAATAAAATTATATTCATCCCTTATTTTCTTTTCAGAATATATCAACTATCGTACAGCAAAATATTATTTATTTGCCTGTTGAAAAATAAAATAACATTTAATATCGTTGAGTCGCAGCTGAAAAACTACACAGCTCCACACCCTTTTTATATTTCAAGGTTTTCTCCAATAGGGAACTAAATCCAGACAAATTAATACAAAGCAAAAAATAAAATTATCATCTAAATAAATGT